AAAAAAAAAAAAAACCAACCATATAGTTAATTACAACCATATTACTTAGCCTGTTACAAACCAAAATTAATCATCTATAATATAATTATCTAGAATTTGTACTTGCCTTCTTTCCTTGACAATGTTTCGGATACACAGATCACGATGATAATGGATAAATTGTTGACAGGTCATTTTTATTTCCTCAGGAACAGGAGAACCCCTGTTGTCTGTTGTATCTTTATTATTCCATAGGAACTCAAGTCTAAAAGCCAAAATTTAAGGAGGTCACTTTTAAGGAATGAAAAGCACTCAGAGAGAACCCCTTCCTGCTTATCACCCCATCGACACAGCTCTTCCAAAGCGGTCATCGACAACATCCAGATGCTGTTAGTGTCCGAAGCAAAGACCTAACCCGCACTTGGTTTCCTGGTCTAAGCAGGTGGAGACTTGAACATTTTATAAGCCATCCAAGCATATTTGATCTATTTCAGTTTCTACCAAAAAAATGAAGTTCTTTCCTTACTCCACATTCTACTGTTTTAAGTGGCAAAAATAACTTACAGAGATCAAGTATTTTATTTAACCATTCTCCAATTTCAGTACCAGAGAGACAAATACTGGGCTCTGGAATACAGCATCATTCTGTTTCTGCCAGCTCAGACGATACATGTGTTGACCATTTTAACTGATCAACATTATGAGCTGATAACTAAGTTCAATGACTTTCCTTTTACGTTTTTCCTCCTTCATGAAATGAAGCAACTATATCTTAATAATGTGATGATGTTAATGACGACAAAAAAGAAGTAGAAGAAAGAACGGTGACCACATACTGGGCACTTTTCAGGTAGTGGATAGGATAAATTCCATTAGCACTTCTAGTTTCTACTGTGTTTGACTTTGAAAACAAATGAGAGTAACAAAGATGTGTGCTTCCCCCTTCCTTCCACTCCTGGGTTGCAGAATTCCCATTTCATTATTTCTTTTAAAGAAGTTACTAATCTGAATCCAAAGAAACTCGTCACCAAGCTAATAAAAACAATTTAGAAAGAAGGGACTTGAGTTTTCTATAAATTGTCAGTTTGATAGAAAGAGAAATCCTATTGTCAAAGGAGAATCTATATTGTCAAATACAGACCTTTGGGGATGCACAATCTACCACTTCCATTCCTAAATATATTTTTCACGTTTCACTTTACTTTATGTAGTTAATGGCATAGATAGAAGTCCTCATCCATCAGGGCACCTGGGTGGCTCAGTCGGTCAACTTCAGCTCAGGTCATGATCTCACAGTTTGTGGGTTCGAGCCCTGCATCAGGCTCTCTGCTGTCAGTGCAGGGCCCGCTTTGGATCTTCTGCCCCCCTCTCTCTGTCCCTCCCCTTGGTGTTCTCTCTCTCTCTCTCTCTCTCTCTCTCAAAAATAAATAAACATGAAAAAAAAAAAAGAAGTTCTCACCCATCAATTCTCGTTGAAATGCAAATGACAATGTGGGAGTAATAAGAGTTTTTCTAAAGTTTTCTCTGCAATTATGTATTTGTTTAAAGTTTATTTTTCTTTATCTTGAGAAAGAGGGAGAGAACAGGTGCGAGCTGGTAGGGGGCAGAGAGAGAGAATCCCAAGCAGGCTCTGCACCAGCAGTGTAGAGCCTGACGCGGGGCTCAAACCCATGAACCGTGAGATCATGACCTGAGCTGAAACTAAGATTTGGAGGCTTTAACTAACTGAGCCATCCAGGTGCCCCTTCTCTGCAATTATTTACAACAAATGTGTGTATCAACACAATGTTTGGTTTAATCTTCCTGTGGTCTAGCAATTACTATAGGTTTAAAAATATCAGTATGTTAATGGCCTTGTCATTACTTTTACAGGTATAGATTTCTTTCTAAAATTTTTTAATGTTTATTTTTGAGGGAAAGAGACAGAGCATGAGCAGAAGAGGGGCAGAGAGAGAGGGAGACACAGAATCCAAAGCAGGCTCCAGGCTCTGAGCTGTCAGCACAGAGCCCGACGCAGGGTTCGAACCCACAAACTATGAGATCATGAACTGAGCCAAAGTCGGACGGACGTTTACCCGGCTGAGCCACCCAGGTGTCCCCAGATATAGATTTATTTCAAAACTAAATTTACCTTCTTTTGAAAGGTAGAATGATTAAATGTTTGTCCAATCCAAAGATGCCAAAGGAAATAAATCCCTATGGAAGAAGAAAGGTTACAGTCATGAGTTCAACAGTAGAATGTTAAGACCGAGGAATTATGGAAGCCACCATATGTTTAGTGCTGGGGGAAGCTAACCTAGAGTGATTAGAGCAGTATTTTAAATGGACCACACAAGGCAGGTCCTTTAAAGTTCAGTGTCTGGAGGCAGGTATGATACTTGGCTGCCTCTTCTTAGTCATGTATCCTACTAGTTAGGTTGGATCATTGACTTAACCCAGGGCTGAGCTGCCACATCTGTATTCTAGCTCACTGAAGAAAAACGAAAACATTTAAGAGCTTCATGTCTTCGTTTTCCCTTTTGAAAAAAGAAAATAAGTGATCTCCCGTTGTGCTTCAGTGTTTATTATATTTCCGTTAACACTTCAGCAAGTAGAGAATTACATAGTGTCTGATTACAGTGAAGTCACTGAACAAACTTTATGTGACATGAAATTGGCTAGGTGCTTAGGGAAAGGGTTTGAGGGATTTGGGGGTGATGAGGAGAACTGGCACCAGAAAGCGGCCACAGGTAAGGACGATTGGAATTGCCTGGGGAGACAGAAGGTTGGCAACTGCCATTTGCCAGGCGCAGTGGGTTAAGGATCTCAGTGCAGGCTGGTGGGAGGCAGGGTGGACAATGCGATATACTGCAAGAAGGATCTGCCTTGCTTCACCCCCAAACTATAAACAGCCAAAAAGGAATGACCTTACTATAACACCTATATGGGAGGGGGTGGGGAGTGTTTGTATAGCTCTCCCTCTCTCTCTCTCTCTCCTTTGAAACGCTTGGGCCATTAGCTATGGGGGCATCATCTCAAATGCAACATTCCTAGCATTAGCTTCTTCATTTGTGAAGCTTTCTCAGTTCCAGTCCTGGGGTGACAGCCTGGAGTGGGCTTCTTGAAATCAAAAGGCTGAGTGAGACTACGAGTTCTGAACCTAGGATTTTATAGTTCCTGGGTACAAAAATCAGATCTTAGATTCACAAAGTGAGATTCACTTAGATTCATGTAGCCTGGGATACTCAAGCCAGTCTGTAATAAACTGATTAGGTCACTTATCTATCTAGACGTAGTCTTTTTGCCCCCACCATCATGGCAAAACAAACTGGAAATATTTCAAGAAATTAATGTTAGGGTAAAATGTGCAGGAATGTCTACTAATAAATGTTAACTGACTCAGGTAGTCGATTATTTCAGGTTTAATAGGCAAAACCAGTGATTTCAAACAGAGTTATTTTTTTCAACCTGATACTTAATCTGTGGGACTAATACTCTTTCTTTATTAAAAAGTAAGAGATTGAAAACAGAATCACACTTTGAAATTTTCACATAAAAATATTTTCCCAATATGTAAAATGTCATTGATTCTTCAATATCCATTTTATTAGTGACATAAAGACAACGGCACCTATCATATTAGTTCTTCATGGAATTTTAGTTCCTAATTTTTAAAACCAGGAATGATAATGTCACTTGGTTGGTGTTCCTGTGACGTCTAAGTAAGAGGACTAATGTAAAATCCTTAATAATGGTTGGCATTTAGACTGTCAAGGAATGGTAACTACGATCCCTGGCCCAAATGTATTTATCCATCACATGATTTTCTAACAAAGATTTAAGCACCTATCGTTGGAGAAACATCAACAAGTAAATGAAATGATGTTCATCAATTTAAGTGACTCGACTAAGGGACTCAGAGAAGGGAAGTCTTTTTCCCAAAGTGACTTATTAAGACCATAACAAAGTTTCAAAAGAAGTTGGGACATCTTGTCCCTGCTTAACTGATCACTCTTCATTTTAAAACCAAAGCAAAAAACGATTTGGTGTTTGTGACTGAAACACTCAATGTGCATTCTGATGACGAGAACCAACATGGAGATCGGATGCAGCTGTCAGCTGTCACGCATGCCGGCAGCTGGCGAACCAACTAAACCCTTTTGATTTAAAAGAAAACAACAACATCCGCACCACTACCCCCCAAACAACCCATCCAGGAAAACAAAAAAGCCCTCAAAGTTCTCAGTACATAAATACCTGGCCAAAGTTAAACACAGCACAGAAAAACTGTAGCTCAACATACAGCCTTCCAGGTTCTTGGTTGAATAGCCACCATAAACAACTGGAAAGATTCTGTAAAGGAAGGTGAAAATAGTATTTTAAAATGAAGCTAGCTAATCATTTCTTTCTATCCAGAACACAGTACAATAACTTATCTGCTTAATAATTGGGGGGGGGGGGGAGACTAAAAGGAAAAACACCGAGAGAATATAGAGGCTTTGTCTTTTGAACAAGAGGTTTCAACCTCTCCTCCTGACAGATGTCACTCAAACAGCATCTAATTTGATCAGATCCGAAGCAAGAAGACATGCGCCATAATACAGAAGCTTACTTAATATATCAGGACTGCCAACCAGCCTAAGACAGGACTGATTTTAAAATTAGTTCTACACAATGAAAACAATCACATCACTAAGCAGCAGATCTTGGCAGCATTTCTTACTGTTTGATTTTTGTTCTTTTTTTTCAATAATTTTTTTAATGTTTATTTATTTTTGAGAGAGAGAGAGACAGAGAGAGAGAGAGACAGAGGGAAAGTAGAGGAGGGGCAGACAGAGAGGGAGACACAATCCAAAGCAGGCTCCAGGCTCTGAGCTGTCAGCATGGAACCCGATGCAGGGCTTGAACCCATGAACCAGGAGATCGTGATCTGGGCCGAAGTCGGACGCCCAACCAGCTGACCTACCCCAGTGCCCCTTTTTGATTTTTGTTCTTTTTTTTTTTTTTTAAATTTTTTTTTCAATGTTTTTATTTATTTTTGGGACAGAGAGAGACAGAGCATGAACGGGGGAGGGGCAGAGAGAGAGGGAGACACAGAATCGGAAACAGGCTCCAGGCTCCGAGCCATCAGCCCAGAGCCTGACGCGGGGCTCGAACTCCCGGACCGCGAGATCGTGACCTGGCTGAAGTCGGACGCTTAACCGACTGCGCCACCCAGGCGCCCCTGATTTTTGTTCTTAAACAGCAGTTAAAATGGTGCTGGCTGACAGCATTCTATGTAATGAACATCCCAATGTAAAAAGGTTTCTTCATTGGTTATATATATGGTCCATCTCCCATCTAGGGAGGACCCAGGCAAGTTACATTTGAACCATCTTAAAGAATTATATAATAAATGATAATTCACACAAGAGGACATAAAACTGATTTTAAAATCCCTTAGTAATCAAAGAAACGCATGTAGAAAATAAAGGGCTATATTTCACTCATAAAGTTATCAAACTTTAAAATTCATAACATTCAGGGGCGCCTGGGTGGCTCAGTTGGTACGGACCCGATTCTTGATTTCAGCTTAGGTCATGATCTCACGGTTCGTGGGTTTAAGCTCTCTGTCTCCTTCTCTCTTTGCCCCTTCCCCACTCTCTCTCTCTCTCTCTGTGTCTCAAATAAATAAACATTAAAAAAAAAATAAAATTCATAACATTCAGTGCTGGTGGGAGTCCTTTTACAAATCTATACTACTCCTTCCGAACACAATGTTGTAGAATGCATCCAGAGGCACAGAAATCGTACACTCTTTGATCCAGGTTTCCCAAGTCTGAGACTCTATCATAATGAAATATTGCATGGAGATGTTTATTTGAGCATTTGGAAAAACTAGGAATAATCATCCATAAGGAAGTGGTTGGGTAAATTCTAATGTATCTCCTCTATTGTTTACTGAGGAGCCATTTAAAGTAACAGTTAGGAACAACTATGTAGCAAAAAGAAAATGACTGACACAAGTGACAAAGCGGAGTATAAATCTCTAGGTCCAATTTAGAACCACGAAAAATGTCTGAAAAAAGAGAAGGCAGTGATTGTGCAAATATCTACGGCATGAAGTGGTTATGCTCTTTTCGTAATTAAAAATTCTTTCTAAAAGTTTATCTTCGGGGTGCCTGGGTGGCGCAGTCGGTTAAGCGTCCGACTTCAGCCAGGTCACGATCTCGTGGTCCGTGAGTTCGAGCCCCGCGTCGGGCTCTGGGCTGATGGCTCGGAGCCTGGAGCCTGTTTCCGATTCTGTGTCTCCCTCTCTCTCTGCCCCTACCCCATTCATGCTCTGTCTCTCTCTGTCCCAAAATAAATAAAAAACGTTGAAAAAAAATTAAAAAAAAAATAAATAAAAAATAAAAGTTTATCTTCTGGGAGGCCACGTAGGCATTTAGTCACTGAGTGGCCCCGCACACAGCGTGGAGATACCCAGTTTTACCAAATTCTAGGTTCAGAGCATAGAATGAGGAAATGACTCTAAGCAACATAGGCTGTTGGGCCATTTAGGTGACAGGGTGCTGTGAATCCTTCTTGCCCCCTTCCCCACCAAACTGCTCAAGATGGGGATTCAGATTGGCCTCGCTGCCACGCCCCGAAGCGGGAACTAAGTTTCTCCCAGATGCCTGAATAAAATCTTTGCCAAACATTTAAAGAAATGGCCCCAAAACAAAATCAGAAGAAACATTTACAGCAAACAGGCCAATAATGAGAAGTAAACACAGCAACACATGTCGAGCCAGTTGCTGGTCTCCACTCTGTAGATACTGCTCCTCTTCCTGGACTAACATGCAGCTCTGGGAGTTACAGCGACTCACACAATGCTCATCTATAAGACAGTAAGTACAACAATTTGTAATCAGAGCTTTTTATTTGAATGCATTTCAAATTCATAATGACTTTCGAAGCAAACCGGCACATATGCACATTCAGCTGAGAATCAGTGTATTATTTTAGATGAAATCTGAGGAAGGCTCCTTCTTGTGGTTTCAGGAGAGTTGTACTTGTCAAGTGTTTTTATCTGAAAACTACAAGTAGTATGCCATAGTTCCTGTCTACACTATTCAATGGTGTTAATATATACATAAAGAACAGGCTTACTGTATATACTTATAGAATTTTTCTACACCAAGATATACCCAAATAATTTTCATTGACGTAGGATCATACTACACAGACAATTTGGCAGGCTGCTTTCTTTTTATTTAGCAACACTATGCACCTCCCCCATGCATGCCGTTAGCTGTTGTTACCGCCATTAGCTATATATTATAACCCTCTATGTATCTTAATTTCTTTTTTTTAAGACTAAATTAATAACTCGTGTTTCATCTATAGCAAATCTGCATATTGGTCACGAATATCCTGTTTTGGCTAACTGTAACACAAACTTAATTATTTCCCTTTGCCTTTCATTAAAGAGTTTAAAATCTGCCTTAGAAAAGACCTTTAAGAAAGCAAATAAAAACTGTTACACACTGTTCTGTTCACATACAGAACCAAGTCCAAATCACAGATACGAACGACCCTTGTGTGGCCTAGAGTAGAGGGGAAGGGCCTTTCCCAAGAAACCTCTGTTCTCCTGCCTCAGCTCCACCATATACATGGTCTCAAAAGCAGGGGAAACCATTTTCTTTTTACCAAATGGATGTCTAGCCTAACACACAGTCTGATTTTAAACAGCGAAAGATGAAAAACACAATATTATAGCTCTCAACCCTCAAGGTAACAATAACAATTTGTATTTCCCACAGCCACTTTTTAGAAAAAGACACATGGCGTCCTTGAACACGGTCTAACATCACAGCTATGGCATGCAGAAGTGTGCTGTGCTAAGTAAAAAGAAAGCAGGCTGCCAAACCATTGCTGTGGTGTGGTCCTATTTTAATAAGAATTATTCGTGTATATTTTGGTATAGAAAAATTCTACCGGTATACGTAATAAATCTGGTCTCAAAATACTGTGTACCGATATGACAAAAACGGATAAAAATGAATTTTACTATCTTCCATTTGCCCCTTTTACACATCATAATATTGATTTTGCCTTTGTGCTGTACCAGTGTTTTGGGGATGAGGAACTAACTATACTCAGACTCTAAGAATTCTCACTTGTCCATGGTCTGATTTCTTTTCCCCTTTTTTTGTTTCAGGCTTAGGAATGATACTAAATTGGATGAGTAGACAACGTCCATAGATGATGGCTTTCCTTCTATGTAAGTTTTGCAAAAGAGGATCAGAAAATGTAAGAGGCTCCTATAAAAGAGTTTTTCAGGAATCAGCATTATTAACGAAGAACATGGCAGATAAGCAAAGCAAAACAATTTTCAGAGACAAAAGAAATGTCAAGTTAAATTACATGTGGAATTTGACTATGGACTTTACTATTAGGTATATTGTGTAGGGAGGAAAAATAAGAAGGAGAGCCTTGGGAATTATGATGTAAAGAAACATTAATTTATAAAATTGGCACCCCAAAACTGAAAGACAGTTTAACTGAATGCCCAATGGGGTTTCCTATCAGAAAGCCAGCGAAGGCCCAACATCTGATATATTTTCACTTCTTTCTGGAGAAACGGGAGTTCCACGATTTAAAATCCATTCCTAGCCAGCAGCTGGCAGCCAAACATAAACCCTGCTGGACTAATAGCAACTGCTACCACTGTGACCGCTGTTTGCTGAGCATTTACTATGTGCCCCACGTGCTGTGCTAGGTGATTTGCACACATGTTTATTTATAACCCTCACAGCTTTTATATAGAAATGAAATGCCTTTGGCAACAATACAGTTGACATATGCTTCATCATGAAGAGAGGGCTTTGGGGGGTTTCCCTTTCTAACTTGATTATAAATGAGCATAATTAGTTGACAGTGCATTGCAATTTCATATAAGTGTGCTCGGTTGTTTTAAATAATCTGAATTCCATTGTGTATGCATGGGGATGGCCCAAGGCAGTGGCACGGGAAGACCCTGAACTCATCTCCCACAGATGCACCAAATCTACCACCATCTATGCGATAACTCCCACCTGAAAAGAGCTGAAAACTAGCTGAGCAGCTTCCTTTGCAATGAGGGGAAAATGGCCCCATGGAGCCAGGTGGGAAAGGCAGAGCTATAGTCTTACCAAAACCCTCACCCCAGGGTGCAGCAACCCACAATAGGGAAGGTTCTCACAGGCTCAGAGCTTCTCCCTGAGGAGTGAGGGGTCTGTGCTCCGTATCAGGTACCCTGACCCTGGGGACCTACACCACACAGATGAGGCCCCAACAAAGTCTCGTTCTGGAAACCAATGGGGCGTATGTCCAGGGGACCCAAGGACTATGGGGAGCTCAGCAGGGACTCATCCATCTGGGTAACCAGCACTGGTTTGAGAGATGACTGGATTATATGTGAAGGAGATTCAATTGTTAAAGATTCGCTGGAATTTTCCTTGAGGGGGAGAGTGCTGTTGGAGAGCGCCAGTTTTCGCACTCTCCCTCTCTTTCTAGGGCAGGCATGTATGGCTAAAACCAAGGCATGTCTCTCCCAGAATGCTCTTCTTCAGCATCGCTAAAATTGCAAGCGTGTCCCCCCCCCCGCCCATGCTCCTTCCTGGCACAGGCATGCCCCACACCCAACACTCTCCTGCAGCCTTGCTAAAGGCTGACGGATGAACTCAGCCCACAGAGAGGCCACTCTCGTTTGCCTGGCTCTGGTGGCTGAGAGGCCTGTACTCCTGGGCTCTATGGGTCTATAACAATTGGGAAGACAGTTCTGGACAGGACACCATATCCTGCACAACACACAGACAGTAGACTGAAACACACCCCCAGTCTGCACGTGGCAAAGACTCATTTATTTACCCTGGAACTTCAACCTGAGGGATAGGATTCAGGTTGGCCACACACCTAAAGGCACTCTCAGAGGATGTAGGCAAGGAGACACCATCTGCACCCACCCCCGTCCCCTACTTGGCCTCACCACAGCTTGCTAGTGTCTCCTAGACAGGATCTTTTACACTGGTCTCAAGCTCTGATTCTTGGCACCTGCTGCCCAGAGGATACCTTCAGATCTCCTGGTCTAGAGATCAGCAGGGTCTATGACTGTGGTCTCACAGAACTGTATACATTTGCATACTTGAAAAATTGCTGCCTGAGGGTCTGGCTTCCAATCGGCCTGAATCTAGGCGGTGACCGAGATCACTCCCTTTGGAATGCTGACGGGACCTACCACACCCTCAACAACTGGGACTCTCAAGAATAAATCAGGCTACTTAGACAATCACAAAGGTTCTAGAGACCACCCAGAGCTAGGACAGGGTCAAACACAGACTTGTGGTTATCGAAGTGAAGCAGGTTAGGGGAGGGTGAAAAGAGTGAAGGGGGTCAATGATGAGCGATGGTAACTAGACTTATTGTGGTGATGACTTTGTGATGTATACAAATATTGAATTATTATGCTGTACACCTTCTACTAATATAATGTCATATTCCAATTTGGGCACAAACAAAACCTTGAAATTTAGACCACAAATGTAATTCAGTCTCTTAGTCTATATGTCAAAGCTTATTACTTTTAAAGATTTTTCTTATTTTATGAGAAAGGGTATATTTAAAGTATACAGATTTAAAATGTAATTAAGCACTGGCCCTGGAGGAAATGAGTTGAGGGGGAGTCTCAGCTGCTAAAATATGAAAAACATCTGAGAAAAAAAATGGCACTTGGGGCAAACTTCTTGGAGTTATCACATGGGTTACATTTATTGGAAAATGTGTGTATAATTCTACGAGTTACTATACGAACTTTATTTTTTTCATGAATATTCTATCTATGCACAACTATTATCCTATTAGCACTCTTCCCCATCTTATTTGAGAATGCATAATCAGTCCAGCTTTCTACGGAGAGGAATCTTCTGTTCCTTAAGCGCATCCTCACAGCCTGGAGGCACTTACTTTTCTCAGACGAAGGAGTCACAAGCCCACTGGTGCTTGTGTTTGCTACCGGCTCCGCGGATGGGCAGCATAATCCACCATTTCCCATGGAGCAGGAGCAGCAACCTATATAAGTAAGACAGCATTCGAGAATAAGGACCAACCCCAGCAGAAATGAACAGCTTCGAGAAATGTCAAACAAAACAAAACAAAACAAACCCAAAACAAACCAAAAAAAACCAATCCGTTCTCTCTCTCTCTCTCTCTCTCTCTCTCTCTCTCTCTCACACACACACACACACACACACACACACACACACACATACATTTCCCACGCAGCCACAATATTTTCACATGGGATCTATCAAGAAGAATTTGCACGTGCTTATACAGAAGTTAACATTTAAAGGGTGGCAGACAAAAGCTCAGCTCCTTTACATATTGTCTCCTTGTGGTATGAGACAACTCATGTTGTTTCATGAGTTACCACTGTGCTTTGAGAACTAAGCATCTGAACACTTTCTTAAAATAGAGCCTTTATTCCATCACTCCTTAAAAACATGCATGACTGCTCTATTGTTTACTGTAGTTAATTCAGACTCATTAGCTTGAATTTAAAAGGCTCGTGAGGACTTGGCCCCTCTCTCCCTATCCAAATGCCCCCACTACTCAACAAGGCCTTTCCCTTCTCTCAGGACAATTCTTCAGTGTCCTCCACAAATCCCATGTCTATCTGGGTCTCCGGACCTAGTTAGAAACACATACAATTCCCACTCTTATTAATTCACTGAAGTCCTCTCTTCCTTTACGTTCAGCTCAAGACTCACTTCTTTCAAGAATGTGTTTTCTATGCGTCTAGAAGATGCAGTAAAAACAATTATATTCTTTTGTTTTTTCAAATATATACAGCTGAAAATCTCTTCCTGCTTTATAGGTAGACTGGTTTACAGAAGTCACACCGAGAGACCTGCTATAGAGCTGTAACTTTTCCTCTACATAGTCAGAGAACACATGCAGTGTCCTTTCAACATTTCACACGTATATAAGACATGGTGCTCCGTGACAATGGATTCGAATAGAATAATAACTTCAGTGATAAACTGCATTAAAATTTAATATGCTAGAAAAAGGAATAATGCCTAGGCTGAAACTTTCATTGACAATATGTTTTGATTCTTCAGTAATGTTCTTAACCAAAAAAAAAAAAAGTGTTGAAGTATAAAAACTACAATGTAGAATAAACTATCACAAGCGTCTTTCTAAATTTAAGATAATGATGCCACCTCTCAAGGTGAAAATAGAACACAGCATAGTAGAAAAGAAAATACAGAGATCATCTGGCCTGGCCCTCCTATCTTCAGAAACTTGAAGGCTTATATCAGCTAAGATAACATTGTTCAGAAGACAGGTATAAAGCCAGCCGGTTCCAGTGACATACACGTAGGGCGTGAATGTACATGCATAATATCGCAGCCACCACAGAAAGTGCGATGGCTGTTTTTATCTTCTAACATACAAAGGATGTATAACTAGACTGTTAGCTTTTTCTTTGCTAACTAAACCTTCAAGCTCGTATTAAAATAGGTTAATTTTCCTTTCAATCATGATTCTACATTTATAAACTGCAAATCACGGGTCTTGGACAAATGTGTGGCAAGAGGTAGAGGTGAACGATCTATGTTGGACTACTAAGGTTTGGGAGGCCAGGCTGGATATGTAATGTGTTATGTGTTAACACTACTAGCGACGCAGAACACGGCAGGATTTGCGGAAGGAGAATAACCACGTCGATTTTAAAACCTTTTCGCTGCGAACATCCATGAATAGGTAAATAAACACGTACTTTGCCATGGCAATTTGTAGGGCAGCTTCAGAAAATCGTGGTGTGTTTTACGCACCCACCCATCACCCCACCCATTTCGCAAATATTACTAAACACTTACAGTAAGTCTGATACCATGCTAGGTGCTGAGGCCATAACGTTGGGCAGGTCAGTCAAAGCTCTTACCGTCAAGTGGGTTATACAGACTATTTGAAAGGCAATTATAAACAGTGTGATACAAGGAGACGGAAATGTAAACACTGGGGAAGGTTTCCTATGGAACCATGCAATAGTTGTCCTCTAGCTCTTCATTTATTTACATTACAGGGCAAGTTAGTTTTCCTGCCAGAGATGATGATGACAAGGTTTAAAGAATATCTACGGGGCGCCTGGGTGGCGCAGTCGGTTAAGCGTCCGACTTCAGCCAGGTCACGATCTCGCGGTCCGTGAGTTCGAGCCCCGCGTCAGGCTCTGGGCTGATGGCTCGGAGCCTGGAGCCTGTTTCCGATTCTGTGTCTCCCTCTCTCTGTGACCCTCCCCCGTTCATGCTCTGTCTCTCTCTGTCCCAAAAATAAATAAACGTTGAAAAAAAAAATTAAAAAAAAAAAAAGAATATCTATGGTACACTTTACTAGTTATTTTTAAAATACAGGCATGGTGGGGGGTGGTGAGGGCACCTGGGTAGCTCAGTCGGTTAAGCGTCTGACTTTGGCTCCGGTCATGATCTCATGGCTTGTGGGTTCAAGCCCTGCATCAGGTTCCGCTCTGACAGCTCAGAGCCTGCTTCAGATCTTCTGTCCCATTCTCTCTCTGCCCCTCCTCCAGTGGTTCTCTCTCTCTCAAAATAAATAAATAAACTTAAAAAAATTTTAAAATACAGGTAGAGGTAGCAGCAAAAGGCTCTGGGCTTAAGACACTTGGTTTCGTGTTCCCCGCACAAGTTGTCAGGCTTTCTGTAGCCAGTTCTGAAACAGTCCTGGGGAAAGAAGGCATAGAGAGCCAGCCAGAGTGGTGGTCTTCAGGATCCTTTATAGGATCACTGAAAGAGTCCATAAAGAAAGTGAGGAAGGAAAGGGTGATGGGCAGGATCAGAAAATACTGCAGACTTAGGGAAAGCAGCTTTTAAAATGTTAGTGAAAACATAAATAGAATCCTTGAACCTCCATTTTAAAAGGAAATAGGTCAAGAAGGCTCAAAAGAATGAAATTCTGATGCTGTAATCGCAAAGGTTCTAACAAAAAAAAATTAGTGAGCACCATTAATAATATGAACTAAATGAGTCCTGAGTGAGGCAGGGATAGTGTGTAAGTGAGGAGTTGGCAAACTACAGTCCTGTGTGGCAGGACCCTGTCATCCTATGTAGTAACATTGGCAGCATCAGATGTGGGAGCCAAGGCACCGGGAGCTTTGCCCCAGATCAAAGAGCAGGAAACTGTGGAGTCAGGATTTGAACCCAGCCAGTCTGGCTCCCATCTCTGTTTTTAGCTACTGTGCTATATACTTCCAGTTTGGGATGGAGGAAGGAAGAGAGGGAGAAGGGGGCAATGTAAAACGGTAAGATTTGTGGGGTTTTCTTTTTTTTTTTTAAGACAAAAATAGTTAAATTTTTAAGATCTTTCTCTTTCTTTCTCTTTTTATTGATATTTAGAACTAATAGGTTTTTTAGAATGTTTATTCTTTTTGAGAGAGAGAGAGAAAGAGAGCGAGCACAAGCAGGGGAGGGCAGAGAGGGGAACAGAGGATCTGAAGCAGGCTCTGTGCTGACAGTGGACAGGATGGAGAGCACGAAAGCAGGGAGCCCAGAAAGCCCGGAGCCTGGACAGCGGGGAGCCCAATGCGGGCTTGAACCCTAGAACCACGAGATCATGACCTGAGCTGAAGTCAGACTGTGTCACCCAGCCGCCCCTACAGCTAACAGTTTTGAGATTAGTCATCCCTCTACTCCACAAAGTCTCTGAACAAAATAGGTACTGTCACTGACACTTCCTGGCACACTGTTTTACGTCTATGAAATCTCCACATGCAGCAATGAATCCAAAATGCATACTCTGTTGCTGAGTTCCCTTCATGAATTGAAGCAAATCTCACAACAATTGTTGACGCTTATTAACAAAGTTACTAGTTAAGATCATACTTTCACTTATACCAAGGATTGGCAGACATTTTCTATAAAGGACTAGATGATAAATACTGTAGGCTTGGCAGGCCCCTGGTCTCTGGTGAACGACTCAATTCTACCAGCATCAGCATGAAAGCAGCCATGGAAAATACACAAATAAGTGAGCACGGGTGTGTTCGAACAAAACATCATGAACACGGAATATGTAAGAACTGGGCCATACGAGAACAGTCAAGGGACCAGATTTGGCCTGCAGACTACAGTTTGCCAATTCCTACTAACTCTGTTTCATCAGGCCTCCTTTAATTCATTTTATTACGGTGCTTGCCTGATACAAGACTGTCAAGTTAACAAATGTTTTAAGTGCTGGGTTTCCTGGAAGGGGACTTCCTTCAGTTGTTACTTTTTCCTAAACTTTCAGGTCCAAAGAAGTCTTAGGATTTAACACAAGATGATCCTCACAAGAGACTTACAAACGCGAATCTAATGAAGAACCTGCAAGCTCTTTCTGCTCTTGACTATGATTCAAGTCCCTCATTTGACAAATACCTGTGATATTCCAGATAGTTCAAGGGAGTTTTCTGAAACGAAACACTCAGGATACACGCTATACAGGCATGGAAGCGTTTCTTTACATTTAAGGATCGTACCTGTTTCCGGGATAGAGCTTGTAAAAGGTTCCGGATCGTTTATTGGCACTGGACTCTCCTCAAAAGCGGTGTTCCCAGGCTCTGCTGCTTTGTGGCTCTGAGACTGGTCAAAGCCTTCATAGCGTCCCGCTTGGGTGGTGCGGTTCATACACATGAGTGATATGCCCGCTATCACAATGCTGCAGAACAGGGTGACTGCCGTGATGATCATCTGCCAGTTGTTGCAAAGACACATTAGGGCACTTTGCGTAATCCCATCTTTGATAATCTTAGTAGAATAGGTAAAGGGAACTTTTTCTGGTGGGAAATACAATATCCCCATAGCTACAAATGCTTTAGAACAGTAGTTCTCAAAAAAAGACTAAGAGTATGAAAGGGATATAGGTTACTTGTAGAGAAACTAGGATTTGCTTGTAATCATGTAAGATTTCTAGATGCTTCTTTCACTGTACATCAATATCTTGGTTTCTTCTATAAGTAATCTAAATGACTACTCACAGGCCTTTTTTAATTTAAAGTTTTTGCTTGTTTTAATACCTAAGTTCAAGGGTACCTCAGCTGGAGACTCTGTTATGGTAATAATACTAAACATAAATAATTCTGGCTAATACTTATTGCGTACTAACTATATGCCAGCACTAGTCTAAGTCCTTTAAATGTATAATCTTATCTATTCTCACAACAACCCAATAAAGTTCAAAATTACAAAAAAGAAAAAAAGGAGATAGGAAGTCAAAATCTTTTGACGGTCTTTTTAAAAACACACATCCTTGGAGCACCTGGATGGCTCAATCGGGTGAGCCTCCGACATCGGTCAGGTCATGACCTCAGTTTGGTTTGTGAGTTCGAGCCCCACATCGGCTTGCTGTCAGCACAGAGCCCACTTCAGATCCTCTGTCCCCTTTTCTCTGCCTCTCTCCCACTTGCATTCTCTCAAAAATGAACACTAAAAAAAAAAAAAAAAAAAAAAAAAAAAAAAAAAAAAAAAAAAAAAAAAAAAACCTATTTACAAACACACATCTTTGGGCCCTAGCCCTAGAGAATTCTGATCAGTAGATACATTAATCACTCTCTCCTCCAGTAGAGGAAACATAATTCATAAGTGAGTTTAAGAAGACCCAATAAGTTTTGGGGCACCTGAGTGGCTCAGTTGGTTGAGCATCCAACTCTTGATTTCAGCTCAGGTCATGATCTCACGGTGTGTGAGTTCAAGTCCCGTGTTGAACTCTGTGCTGAC